CCCACCCGCCCACCCACCTGGTGTGACTCTCGTGGTTAAATGCCGTACGAAGTTGGATGGATTGATTTTGACTCCGATGTATCGGAATCCTGGTGTGACTCTCGTGATGTGTCCTCGGCTATACTACGAGGGGATGATGGATTTGTTCATCCGGAATAATGGGTATTCAGCGGTAAAGGTAATGTCGAGAGCATGCTACACCGGATGCGTGAAGATTTGAAAAGGAATGACCTGCTGGAGTTCGCTAGATGGAACAGGAAAGGAATGTTTGGGCAAGCGTACGCTATGCCTAACCTTAAGGACCCCGATCGGTTCCGACTGGTCTGCCCATCCTTTCCTGAACCTACAGCAGACACCAGTAAGGCAAGTGGCGAAAGGTCTTAATGACCTGCTGTACATGATCCCTGTCGGATGGCACTTTAACTTGAAGGTGGTATCAAACTTTGAGAAATCTGTAACAGAAAGATGTGTAGGGTCAGGCCGGAAGTGGTTGAATCCCGATCCTACGACATCAAAGACATGTTCAGTCTTCTGCCTCACGACGGAATCCTCTGAGAGCTGTCAAATGGCTGCTTGATTACCACGAGATAACTTGGTAATGGACGTGCGTTTGTGACATCGCTCACTCTGACAGGGGTTATAACCTTGCGCGGATTTGAGTTTAGACACGACGGGGTTTCTGTTCTTGAGTTGACCAGGGAGTTTACGGATCGGTGGCGCGCTGAATGTTAATTCAATCATTTTCGCAATACACTCACAGCACGTGAATACACTGTGTCGCGTATCGTGGATTCCTTGCGGCGTGTATGCGTCTCGAGTTTTGTCCAACCTGCAACAATTCACTCATATTTTTTTGAGATATCATCATTGAACTGACCGGTCCCAAGTAATCGAGAATGATTTTATTATGGTCATCTGATTGTATCCGGATTCGAACTTGTATTTCCACAGTTCACGAAAAAACCCTGAAAATTTAGGGCACTGTTAACCGCTTCTCAGTTCGTGGGTGTACCAACTGAGCGAGGCCTGTTGGTGAGATCTTTGCAGCTTCGCATGGCCACTCTTTCCTTTTTCCTGATGGTTATACTAGACAGACTCGTCAGCCAACTCTGCCTCTCTCATCACCTTCCATGACCTGCGTCATTGTTTCTCACCTTTGCATTCCGCAATAGGGGACATATTATCAGGGTTGCATACCTGCCGACCGCCGAACCCAACCGCCGACCATATGGTAGCCGACCAGTCAGAAAACAGCCGTCCAGTGCGTCCACTGATTTTTTTCAAATCTGACTTGGGGGCTGTACTGCGCTTGCTGAGTACATCCCAAATCCGCTGAGATACTTTTGGGGATAGGGGGGGGTATA